TCATTTGGCTGAAAAACGGCTGAGTTGAATCCCTTTAAAGAAATGGCAGGAGGAGAAGAAGAAGGAGAAACATGAAGGAACACAATATGTCTTCACCACTTTGTGGTGAAGCCATAATAAAGGGATCAAATTGGATCTTCTATGGCCAGGATCTTCTCTGGTAATTACTATCCCTTTATTACAACCAATTTCTACTATTTTTCCAGTGATCCGCGGTGCCTGATAGGGGCTAGATTGCTCCTATCTGCTCCCCATAACTTCCTAAAATTACAAACCCCATGCAACACATTTGTCAGCTCTGCCAACAGACCGTAGCCCCCGGAAGGCTCTTGTTATGGAATGTACCAAATATGATGTTACATGTATATGTAACAAGCTATTTACATTTCTCGAATCAAGTACCATAGATTTCAAGAGTCTCGATGTTGGAGACAGACTTGAATATATCTTTACATGTTTGTTTGTTTGTTTGTTTGTTTATTAAGGAATCTCCATTAGTGAGAATATGTACATCACTACTCTTCCTGGAGTCCTATACAACATAAAAATACAACTATTATTTACAATTACTTCAATTGCTATTATGCCTCAGAAAAACTTATCTTAACAACAATTTTAAACATCAATCATCACATCAATCATTACAACAATATTACACTATACAACCATCAATCAATAATGTTACACTATACAATTAACCAAAAACAATTTTATAATAGATGTCTGAGAGGTCAGAGGTCAAGAGATTGTGCATAATATATTTAAAAACATTTACCACCAGGAGTTAATTGGTGTGTGTTTGTTTTTATGTGTTTTTGTCCAATTCCAGATTTTTTCTTTAAACGTTTGTGGGTTTGAGGATGTGATGTGAGTAGGCAAAGTGTTGTATGTTTTAATGCACCTGTGTATGAAAGTCCGAGTCATGGCGTTGGTTCTAGGTTTAGATTGCTGGAATGCTCCTTTTTGTGCCAGTCTAGTGTTGTGCGAATGTGCCGAATTAATTGTTTTTAATCTATTGAAAATACATCTAGGCTGTTTCTCTCTCACTACTTTATGGAATGTGTTGATTGTGCCGGTAAACAATCTCTCTTTGACTGAGGGCCAGTTTAACTGGGTGTGTAAAATATCCAAGTCGGCATCCCAACGTGCACCTGTTGCCAGCCTAGCCGCTCGATTCTGCACAACTTGTAGTTTGTCTATTTGAGTTTGTGGCGATGATGACATAAGGGCACAGCAATAGTCAAGGTGCGATAGAACCAGGGTCTGTAGTACAGTTTTTAACATGTTGGGGGTCAAGTTATCCTTATGTTTCCTAACTGACGCAAGTGCGCCTGCCATTTTCAATTTTGTATTGTTGACCTGCAGTACCCATGAAAGCTGCTGGTCTACTGTAACACCTAGTAATTTTGCATCTTTCGACCTGTGAAATGCTTATGCCATCAACGGAAAGTTGCAGTTTTGGTTCCCTTTTAAGTTTCTGTTGTGTACCCATGACGATTGATTTTGTTTTACCTATGTTCAGAACTAGCTTGTTTGTTCTCACCCAATCCCATATCCGTGACAAGTCTGCCTGCAACTTATCTTGTAATCCTGTTATATCAGAAGCTGATGTGGATGGGGTTGAATCATCTGCGTACATAACTACTGTACTCTGATTAGTTGCCGTGGGCAGGTCGTTTGTAAAGATGCAAAACAGTAGGGGTCCGAGGCAGCTGCCCTGAGGTACGCCACATTTTGTTTCTATGAATGACGAAAAAGATCCATTTACAAAAACTGCCTGTTTTCTGTTTTCTAGGTAACTTCTTGTCCAGTTTATGGCAGATTGTGCAAACCCATAACTATTCAGTTTGGCCAAACAGATGTCGTGATTAATTACATCAAAAGCCGCACTGAAATCTAACAAGACAGCTCCTACCAAGTTACCCTTGTCAATCTCCTCCAACCAGTAGTCGGTCATTTGTATAAGCGCACTAGAAGTAGAGTGGAATCGCTTATACGCATGTTGATTACCGGAAAAAATGTCATTTGAAATCATGTAGGTTTGGATTTGCTTCTGGCATATTCTCTCCATGACCTTACTTATGGCGGGTAGCAAGCTAATTGGGCGGCTATTTGGTCCATTCAGTGGGGAGGATTTGTCTTTTATCAGTGGTATAACTTTTGCTTTCTTCCATTGAGAGGGAAAGATTCCTTGTATGAAAGAGCGGTTGAATATGTGGCACATGTAATGGTCCCCACAACGCAAAAATAGGTAGATATATAAAGGAATGCTTTGCTATTAGAAAAAATACCGAAACTTGTGATTAGCCCACTCGATTGTAACACTTTATCAAAGACTTGTGCTATCCCTCATTATTTGAATAATTATGATATAGATATGTTTGGTTTTATTCGACATTAGGTCCTATTCAACACACTTATTTTATTGTTGTTACTGTCTTTATGTAGTTTGCCATACATTGTACCATGTGCAATTGTCGTGCAATAAAATTCTTCCTATGTCTAGTTTAATCAGCTACATGCAGGTTTAAATTTACCTGCACAGGTGCTCGCTGCACACCTTAAATCCTCAGGGCTCGAAAGACTGGCTGCATGTGCACCTTACTTAGTGCACCCAAATTTGGAGCTGTGCACCCAATTTTTTTTCTGTGGGTGCACTGGTGCACCCAAATATTTTTGTAGGTTTAAATTTGTACAAATTGTATAGTAGCATAAAGCATATTCTTAACATCTATGTGTCAGAAAAATAATAAAATCATTGTAAATAGTACAATTGTACTTTTCTTTAGAAATCAACATAATTCAATTTTTGCTGACATTCTACTTATTTGATCTTAATGATAATAAAAACATGGTGCACCCCAAAATTTTTCTGTGCACCTACTATTTTAGGTTGGGTGCACCAGTGCACCTATTCCCACAAATGAGTTTCGAGCCCTGATCCTGTTTCAAGTGAACAATATTACCAGCCTTGCTGTGCAGGTAAAAAAATTCCTATACCCTGGCTAGCTACTGGTGCAGCATGGCTGATGGCGAAATGATCTGATCAGAATTTCCTGAGATGATCCAAGTGTTCAGACACCTGATACCTGAGTACCTGCCCGGCTTGCCACCTGCCCAACAATATGTTATTGTTGTTGTTTACATGCCTTTACGTGCCCCCAGTTTCACCGGAGGAAATTTGGGTCATGTACGTGCAAAGATGCAGCCTTTGACTGACCGATTTTTAGGGGGCTGTGTCCGTGACCTGTGCTAAGCAAACAGAACACGTCCTGTCAGGAAATCTTGCGTTATTCTGCCGGCTGCACCGCTGATGGCCGGATAATTCCATCTTCTCCCAGTCAGTAGTCACGCCCTCCCACGGGGCAAGTCGCCTATCTCAGCCTAGCGATACGGACAGCTTCCCTGGTCAGGCTCGACAAATCAGCAATTCTTCAAGCTTTTCAGCAACTCCGCCTGTGAGAATATATGGGAGGGACTGTACTAAAGAGGATGACAAAAGTACAGGACTCACCCGAAATGAGAAAGTCCCCGCCATGATTGCAAAACTCGATGGCGTTGACACATCCATAGTGACCGAAGAGGTCCTTGCGGTACAGGCTGCGGCAGGCCCCGAGCCGCTCCCGTAGGAAGCCCTGCTTCAGCAACTGCTCGCCGCTGATGCTCCGGTTCGCCGTGAAGTTTACCGGCGAGAAACACCAGCTCCTGTGGAACATCGTGGCGCCAGTATTTTACACCATGTAGGAACCAGCCGACGTTACCAGATACGTGTTTTGCCCCTTGCTCCGGTCTGCCGTCACCTTATCGATATTTCCATATCAGCCCCAGGCCGGACCGGAACACACAAGTACAAGATTCGGGGGGAGGGATCTTATAATTTACTGGGTTAGTGACTCAATCAACTAAAAGACTCCTCTGTAGCTGCGAAATACTTTTATTCCATTCAAGACTTCAACGTATAGCAGTCATTTTCTAACAAAAACTGCACAATACTATAATATTTCAATCGGCAACATTTGGCATAGTCCAAATTTCCATGTCGTGCTAAAGCGACCTCTAGCAGTTTGTTACAAAACTGCAAGAAGCAAACTGAATCGTCCCCTGCAATGGTTTATATTGTCCGCTAGTCGGCGCTTTTGAACCGCTAGTTATCAGCGATTACTTAGGTGTCCTGAGTACGGCTTATATGTTGCCTTATCGTATTAACACACAAAATATGCGATACAAGACTACAATGTGCACATATTGTTACAAGTAATATACTGTACCGTGCATTTGCAAGCTATTTGGTAATTAATTCTCTTAACTGTAAGAATCTATGTTTCAAAAAGTCCCTACCATGCAGGCGCGGAATAAAGAAATTTGTGAACAGCTAAATTTTCATTTTCAGGTAGGGAAAGATGGCGGTGCCAGCAGACGACAGCCATGTGCTCCGTACTTCATTGGAACTGAACATCCTGGCCGGAACAAGCTGCCCAACTGATGGTGGCGAGAACGCAGGTAACGTTAGGACAGCAGTGTCTGTTTGCCGAGTTTGTGCTACATTTCCCATTTTCTGTGAAGATCTAGTCTGGCTGTGTGTGTCCACTGACGATTATTCGTGATTATGCATGCGCAATACAAAACACAAGTGATCACAGGTATGTAAAATCACGGAGCTGTAATAATGTTATAGTCAAAATGGTAAAATGCATCATAGCTTCACTCAAGGACATTATGCATGTGTTTATGATCATTAAATATATCCTTTGGTAGAGAAATAAACATATTTGATATATAATAGAGTAGAGTAGATTCCTTCAGACCAGGTAGGTCCTCAGCATAAGTTCCAGTTTAGACCGCTCTTTCATATTACTGGCCATAGTACTAGTGAAACAACTAGTTGTAAGAATTAGTAGAGTAGAAACAGAAAGACACTCCTGGTCCCGGGCTGGGGATCAAACCCACGCCAAACCCGAGCACCAGTCCATAACCCAAACACTTTAACCATTCGGCTATTAAAAAGGTCTAGACCCATCGGCCGGATCAGTTGGTAGTGCCTATAAACCCCCCACTGTTACACTACTCCCCCTTTTCTTTTCAAGATTCGCCCTCGAATCTTCCAAATTCGATATCCCTGGAGCGGCACTCTTTGCCAGAACTCCCAGGGCCGGCATGGGAACCACTGTAAGAAACAGGAGAGTAGAAACAGAGAGACACTCCTGGTCCCAGGCCGGGGATCAAGCCAGCTTGCACCCAGATGCTCTAACCATTTGGCTAAAAGGTCTAGACCTGTTAGAAGGATCAGTTGGTAGTGGCTATAAACCCCCCACTGCTGTTACATATAGTTATCATTATTACATGGGGGCCCGCAAGCCCTTTTCCGTTGAGCGCAATCGGCCGTTTTAATTCTACGCAGAGCGCAGACAGACAGACCGCTCTAATATTTTTGCGTAGAGCGTATTCGGCGTTTTAATTCTACGTAATGCGTTGTAGCCACTTGGAATTTATCGTAAAGCGTAATCGAGAGGTTTCCAAATTCAGCGTAGAGCTTTGTCGGGACCGCCCCCACCCCCTTGCAGGCCCTCTTACTTCAACTTGACCCATCTACATTTCCCCCACCCTACAGATGTATCCAGTCTGTGTGGGCACCTGACCAGGGGAGACTACGGGCAGGTACTGGAGACTGCGGCAGCCAGGACCATCCTCGGGACCGAGCGGGTCGTCATGGCAACAGAACCCTACCCAGAGTTCCTCAGGAGGCAGGTACAGGAGTACCTGTCCAACGCTGAGGGTGGCGAGCATGGGGACACACCTGTGGACAGGTAAGAGTACAGTTATTGTCTAGTTTCTCTATTGTTAGAATACAGTCATACTTTTTGTTTAACTGGTAACATTTAAGGGACTAGCTGTCCTACTTTACACTCTCTGTAGACGATGACTGGTAATGATTATGGTGATGATGACTATTAGGGTAATGACAGTAGTTTTAAGTTACATGTATTGTTCTACAGATATACATGTACAATGTTTCTAGGTTGACATTTTTTTTAGGTGTTTTTCAATCATCTTCACAATAGAGTAACATCTTAAGGGGGCACACCCCAGTTTATTTGGGGCCTCTTTTCGAAGCTGCACACCCTCAAATCTAGCGACCGTCTCTGGCGTGAAATAATTCGGAAGGAGAATAACTGTATATGGGACGAAAGGGTATCTCTTCAGCTACAAGACAAGCTGAGTTTGGTTTCTTCAACCTTTTTAAGTTTGGTAAAATCAACGGAAAAAACATTATTTTCACTCCAAAATTAATGCCCAAAATTGCAAATTTTCGCGTAGGATAATCCCACAAAAAAAAATTTTCCGGCAGAAATGACTGATGCTGGCAGAAAGACCCAAGCCTTGACTATACCCGAGTAAATTATAAAGAAAATTCTAGTACTGTAATTTTCTAAACAGTCCACGGCGCGAGGGGTTGCAAATCCACCCCTACGAAGCCACAGAGCGAAAACTAGGTCAAACGGGCGGATTACACTTGGCGCGCAAGGATACCCGGAAGTAAGGTTCGGAGCCAAAAGAAATTTTCACCCCAAAATCACCATTTCTTACACTCTTCAGCCATGTTAATGTTTAATGATACTTCGTGGCAGTTTATAAGAAATGTCACCTCAAACTTGGACCCTCAAAACCCTTTCGTCACTTTTTTACAACGGACTATCACGGACCCCGGTCGCGGAAGAACTGGGGTGTGCACCGTTAAGGGTACATCTCTGTCCCAGGGAACTGTGTGTTCTCCAGACCGGGGTAGCCTGCCTGCAGCTGTTTGTGCAGTCCAACTGGACCGGTCCACCGGTGGCGGGGGACCAGACTGACATCCTCCCACAGGCTTACAGACAAGACCAAAAGGTCAAGGTTTCTTTTGCCTTGTTTCTTTCTTTCTTCCTCCTTTAATCCATCTTTTTAATGGTTATTCAACTCGGTCACAGTCATTATATCATTGTTGTGTGATCACAAACTTGTGGCATTTTTGGGATAGTCATATGTCATACAAAATTCAGCTGTCTTGTTACTGGAAAGGCTGTCTTAGGTCCTTCAAGTTCAAGTATTATTAGGATAGGGACTTGTGGGCCTGGTTAGCTCGAATTGCGCCCTACTTACAATATGCATGTATAAAAATTAGATAGACACTATAGAACCTACAATATCTGGTATATATTAAAAGTTGACATCATATTTGTAAGTAAGAAGAAAATAGAACAAACATTATTAAATCTAACAATAACATAGAACATCAGAGACATTATGCTGTTTAACATTTATCCTTGTTGGATGTTAGTTCTGTTAGAGCCTACTTGAAAATCCTACATGTACAACTTCAGTGACGGCACGGTAACAGGCATGTTTCCGTGCTACAGGGTGTGAAGGGAAAGCTCTGTGTAGTACTAAGTAAATTATGTTTACTACAGGATATAGGGGTTTTCTTTTACACAACCAATAATGTCTCTAACCTTGCTTACGTTTCGGTGTCTATCAGACACCTTCCTCAGAGCTTCTGACTGGAGTTCTGCTTCTCGTCGCTATATCAAGCAGATGTAGGTGGCACTTTTGCAAAGAGAACTTTTGCAGTAAGAAAGCTAAGAAACAATTATATATTGGTTGGGTAAAAGAAAACCCCTGCCAACCTGATGAAACTATTTTCGCATGTTTACTACAGGACTTGTTAGAGCCAGTTTGTCAGTCCCTAACCTGTGATGGGGAGAGTGCCTACCCCCTCTGCTCCAACCTGCTGTACTTCCTGGCAGCTCGGACCCTGCTGATGGACAGCTATCACCTCCTCACACACTGTCAGGTCTGGACGTTTCTTTTATTTTGTTTTTTAGACACAAAGATGGAGAGCATCAACTCTTTAGGCTGAGTGTCAGCCTTTTTAGCTCTAATGTCCACTCCCCACAATTCCGTACCGGTAGCGGATCATGGGGAACAGACGAAAGCTAAAAAGGCTAGCTGGCACTCAGGCTATCAACGCTTGCAGTCTTGCATTATAGACTGAAGTAAAAAAAGTAATTGGATGACAGGACCATATTTGTAAGTCTTCATATGTGTGCAAAACAATTGTAGAGCAATTTAACTGTTCTCCAATGAAAAAAAATGGACTCACTGGAATTTTTAACTGTCCAGGGACAGTTTCTGTGATTATGACATATGTGTACATGCTCTTAAAAGTGTATAGAAGTAAACATCTTATAAATATGAAGTGGGTCAAAGCATTAGTTTATCAAAGGCCTTCCTGAAGGAAACAAATGAATGTGCGCAAGCTAGGTAGTAAGTACTATCCAGCAGTTGAAGGTCTGATTCTCCTGTTCCCCAGACTGCAGGTTGGTGGGGCCTGAGGTGTGTGTGGGTACACCAGCAGCTCATGGAAGAGTCGAGACTCCCAACTCTGCAGCAACTGGCTCTCAAATACATACAGGATGGTACGTCTATCTTTCAGCACTGTTCGTATTGAAATTATTTTTATGTCAATTAAAGTGGGGTGATACTGACCCCATGTAACTTTTTATTACCTCCATGAAAAATGGAGGTATTCTTTTTGGCGCGTCTGTCTGTGTGTCTGTGTGTGTGTCTGTGTGTTTGTGTTTCCGCACATTTGTAGTCAGCATAACTTCATAACGCCTTTATGGATTATGATGATATTTGGTATGTTGGTAAGTCTTACTCTGTTCAAAATGAGTGAATAAAATTAAGCTTATCATTATGAAGTTTAAACTGTAATATAACCCACCTGGTAATTTTGCATGTATCTTGTCAATGTGTTTTACACTCATTTTATGTATCTGAGTAGAAGGTATACTCAATAAATATATGTGAATAAAAAACACAAAAAACAACTGTAATTTCCAACACAAGAAACTGGATTTACCCAAATCTTTGTCAAGGAAGGGGCAATCCACACCTCACCTCACCTCACCGGTCCCATAGCAGTCTTTACTGCCGTCGGGGCAACTAGACTGTCAACAAGACTCTTCCACCCAGGGCGGTTCTCAGCTAGACTTGTCTGGTGACTCAGGGGATGTCCTGTCCATTCCTTCAGGTCACTAGTCCAGGTCCTTCGCAGACGCCCCCTCAGTCGTCCACCCTCCGCCTTCCCTTGCAGTGTAGTGTGGGCTAGGGAACCCTTCACAGCTTCTGAAAAAAAAAACAACGTTTTGTTGGCCCACAGTGACGGAGAGGGAGGAGGTGCTGTTCTCAGACAGCTGCAGGTGGCTCCAGGTGCTGTACCAGCTGGAAGCTGGCTACACCTGCCTGCACTACTACCAGTACACAGCTGCACAGGAACACTTCAGCTCTGCCGCCAAGCTGGCTAGACTACAGGTGGAACTCACAGGTAGGGTCGGCTGATTTTGTTTGTTTGTTTGTTTGTTTGTTTGTTTGTTTGCCTGCACTACTACCAGTATACAGCTGCACAGGAGCACTTCAGCTCTGCCGCCAAGCTGGCTAGACTACAGGTGGAACTCACAGGTAGGGTCGGCTGATTTGTTTGTTTGTTTGTTTGTTTGTCTGCACTACTACCAGTATACAGCTGCACAGGAGCACTTCAGCTCTGCTGCCAAGCTGGCACGACTACAGGTGGAACTCACAGGTAGGGTCGGCTGATTTGTTTGTTTGTTTGTTTGCCTGCACTACTACCAGTACACAGCTACACAGGAGCAGTTCAGCTCAGCTGCCAAGCTGGCGAGATTACAGGTGGAACTCACAGGTAGGGTCGGCTGATTTGTTTGTTTGTTTGTTTGTTTGTTTGTTTGTTTGCCTGCACTACTACCAGTACACAGCTGCAAAGGAACACTTCAGCTCTGCCGCCAAGCTGGCACGACTACAGGTGGAACTCACAGGTAGGGTTGGGTGATTTTGTTTGTTTGTTTGTTTGTTTGCCTGCACTACTACCAGTATACAGCCGCACAGGAACAGTTCAGGTCAGCTGCCAAGCTGGCACGACTACAGGTGGAACTCACAGGTAGGGTCAGCTGACACACTAACTTGTAACAACCATGGCCCAACTTACGACTGCCACTGGCGAGTGCAAGGGCACAGATACTTTATTGGACACTTCTTAGAGTTGTTGTGATAACTGTAATGGGATAAATGTAATGTGGCGTCAAACCCTTATAAGCCTACCAAAGTTGTAACACTTACAGCCTATGTAGGTTGTAACATTAACAGCCTGCCAGTTGTAATACTAACAGTTCTATAAGGTGTTCAGTCCTACATGCCAACCTCAAGATAGAACAAAAGATTGAGAAGGTGACCTCACGCTGAGAATAATAAGACTGAGAACGAATGAAACACGGCACTTCTCTGGTTAGCTAGTAGTGCAATGCGGCTTCACTACGGCTTGCATTTGTAGCCAAGCACAACGGGTCACTCCTAGTCTTCTGAATAAGTGTGTTGGGTTCTTTTACCTTTTCCCGCCCCAAACAGGAACTGGTGCAATGGCCAAATGGGTAGAGTGCTCGCCTTGCATTCGGTAGGTTGTGAGTTTGATCCCAGGCCGAGTCATATCAAAGACTTGAAAAATGGTACATACTGCCTTCTCTGCTTAGCACTCAGCATTTGGGAAAGAGTATGATAGTTGAACACACACCATTACCAGTGGACTAGCCCCCTGCTGTAGTGATTGCACACCTGTGTGGCCCAAGGGCTACAGAAACGGAGATGGGTGCCGCCATATGTGACCATGGCCATGCTGATGGTTACGGGGAGGACTTAAACTTTTTTTTGAACGTTAAACATTTGAGTGTGGATGGGAGGTTTGGCCATTGTTGTCTGGGGTTCGCGTATGTTTAGGAGTCAAATTTGACTCAAAGTTAACTCAACTTTATTTTGACTTGTATAAAAAAAGTAGTTCTGGCCTAAATCTGGGCATGCTTGGTAGCGGTCCAGGAAAGGTTTTGAATGTGTTTATTTATTTATTTATGACGATTTACCATATTTGTGGAAGGATTGACATAACAGGTGACTATCACCTCTTCAAAGATGTCAACCCCGAGACCAGACTGTAAGGTTTGAACCACTCACACCGGGAAGGTCCCCTGCTCTTTTCGATAAGTGTGGTGGGTTCTTTAAGGTGCGTGGGGTGTGGCTATCCCAAACACGGGACCTCCATTTAACGTCCTATCTGAGGGATATCCCTAGCGGAAGCTAGGTACTCATTTACTCCTGAGTGAAGTGAGGAAAAGTGTAAAGGGCCTTTCCCAAGGGCACAAGATCGGTGACATGGGCAGGGTTCGAACCCGCAACCTCTCAGGTGTGAGCCGAACGCGCTACCGACTGCACCACACGACCCCACTAAACGTGTGACGGGGCCTTAACCCTATCGATGCTGTAAGAGTAACAGTTTTGTAAAGTACAAATGTTCATTCCTACACCACAACCTTTCCCGCCCCCAAACAGGTGCCATGGGGAAGAGAACTCGGTTCCAGCAGGTAGAAAAGGCACAGCTGGTGCTGCAGGTCCACAGGGAGGGAGGCTGCCAACTGGAACAGCCAGACAAGGGGGTTGCCCTTACTCCTAAGGTCAGTCATATCCCCCCATGTACGTTGAGAGAGGCCGTACTGAGGAGGTAGAGTTGATAGACGTATGGTTGTAACATGCATGCACAAGCCCGTAATAATAATATGTTCAAAGCTGGTGTTCGTAAGATTGTGATTTGACCCTTAGAGTGAAAATTGCTTTGCTTGCCACCTTTTCTGTACCAGCCAACATCTTTCATCTTTAATACCAGCGATGCATTTCTTTTAAAGCTATGATAGGATATATCGCAGGATGTCCTATAGTAAGCAGTGTACAGAGGAATAGGCAGAACTTTACCTAGGCTAATCGTAGGATTGCTTTTCTGACAACTCTCCAGTGTCAGAGATGAAAGGTAGTGGATGCTACCTGAAACGTCTGTATCCAAAATCATATCCAGTTGCTTGAGTAACAGTTACTGTTTTTTGGTGTATCTTATTACCTGGATGTCTAGCCTTCACCGATGTAATCGTAGAATACAACTTGTTTTTCCAGGACGTTTCCCTGGATGATGACACTTTGCTGAACCAGATGAAGCTGACCGACCCTGACCAGGTGGAGGTCATTGACCTCTCCTCTGTAGAACAAGCCCTGGTGTTGGGCCTGTGGTGGGTAAAAAATCAGTCACCTTCGTCGTATAGGTCATCGCATGATCTTGATGTAGGATGTTCAAGCAGGCTACCGAAATTCCTGATTTTTTCACTGTACTTTTATTGTTCACTGTGTTCACTGTCGCTTCTGTACAGTGAACTTATCATTAACAGTTAACAAATAATTCCTGGACTTTCTTTTTCCTGCACCTGTTGGCACCATGAACATATAGTTCTGTGAACATGCCCATTTTTCTCAGACCGTGAAATTTTGCTACGCATGAACATAAAGTGAATTACAATATGATAGAACCAACTACTGAAAAAGATCTGTACTTGGTTCCCGACTCTATGAGAATGCCCTCAGTTTGTGATTGTACAGTGATCGTATGATGATCAGGTCCTTACCAACAGATTTGAGATCTAGAACGCATTCATGTACTGTATCATGAAAGAGACAGGAATGCAACATGATTTTTACAGTGTGTCTTGTTCTTCAGTGAGTCTAACTTGTTTCTTTTGTAACTGAAATTCAATACACAGCTGATTCACAAATCTTGTGCTTTCAGCATCAACAGGAAGAGAAACTGTCCTAAGGACAAACTGACTGAAGAAGAGGTCTTAGCATATGTCTATGTAAGTGTTGTACTGCATTATAATTTTACTTTATCCTGGCATTCATGTAGCATACAGACAAGGTTAGCAACACGTGTACATGTACTATCATATGACAATTTTCATAGCAGTTATAAGATACTAAATTAGGTAATGATTCAACTAACTTCAGTCAATTATGCTGATGCCATTAAATGAAAAGGAGGATACGTCGATGAAGGTTAGACATCCAGGTAATACGATATGCCAAAAAACAGTTACTCAAGCAACTGGATATGATTTTGAAAACGTCAGACGTTTCAGCTAGTATCCACTAGCTTTCGTCAGTGACTGAGAGACCAGAGGGGAAAGCAGGTTTATATACACAACCTGTTGATTGATATGCAAATAAAGTGAAGACAAATTTTTGGAAGTCGAAGAAGGAACAAAAGTCAGACAAGTCAAGACAAGATGATGCAAATTAGTCTGAAAGCTCCTGTTATACAGGACAGGAGCTTAAGTGTTGTCTGTCCTCGGGGCTGGGAGTGCCAAATCCCAAGTGCCGGAAAGATCGACCCGTAGCCCCCCTTCCCTGTTGAGGGTGGGAGGAGGATGTAACTAATAAATCTACTATCATGGATACATTTCTATGTGGCAATCAAATGTACTTTTGCAACATTGTTGCCTTTTTACCTGCCTGTCTAGTACCTCCTGGACCAGCCACGTGATTGGTCGGTACAGACAGCTGCGCTGCTGCTCAGGTGTCGAGGGGAAAAAACCAGCAGCCGGAAGGTGGAACGGTCCATGATGCAGCTGCAGGTCAGGATCTTACTCAAGTTACTGAAATTTATCGTTGCTTCAGGATCTGCTGACTTTGGACCAGTACAAGATGTTTTTTTGTGTGGGGATTTCTGTACTGATTTACCATGACAGTATGTCGCAATGTATTTATGTTACAGTAGTTATTTTATAATATTATGTACTATATACTATATGAATGCATCAACTCCGACTAGTATAAATGATTCGAGAATATTTTATGACAAACGTATTCTAATGTAAATAACTGGCAAATTCAGGCAATTGTAATGTCTGCAAGTTGAATAAAGATTTATTCATTTAAAAAAAAAACCTTTAAAGGTGCATATGCATCTGTTTGCCTTCCCTTTTACCTTGTGATATGGATCCGCTGGGGAAGACGGATGCCCAAGTGTGTGGTCAGATTCGCAACCTGTTATCCACCTTAAACAAATCCACGCAAAGGCCACCGTGTCAACCCTCCTCACTCAGGTGTAGGAACTGACACGGTCTATCAGTACATGAATCTGTATCCATACATGAATCTGTATCTGTACATGAATCTGTATCTGATTGCAAATAAAGATCTCGAGTGATTGCCATAGAATTACCTTGTGATAAACTCAAATAAAGAAGCAAATAAAGAAGCCATCTATGTTTTGTATCACCAATGACTCAGGCATTTTTTCCAAGTACTGTGTGGAGTTTGTCCATTTTGAGCTGAAGCTGTCTTCCTTCAGTTCCCATGTACATTTATGTGTTACTGTGGGGCTGTAAAATAAGTTAGTGGGGCTGTAAAATAAGCAGTGGGGCTGTAAAATAAGTTGTATAACTTCAGTTCAGTCCCACTTCGTCCTTGTATTTGTATTGCTTTACTCAATAAAAAAAAATGTATGTGTTCCTGTTTCAGTCGTTGGTTGACGAGTACAAGTCCCCGACCCCCCCTGCCCAGGTCAGACTTGGGCTGGTGTACAGTGTGGCCCTGCCACCCAGGTGGATCATGGAGGTAAGGGTTATGTGTTTCTCACTTGGAATTATATTGAACAGTAAGTTTTGATAAATGTATCAGTTATCTTGGCTTTTGTTTGACACATGAAAATTGTAAGTAAAAAGAAGCCCCAAATGTCCTCTACATTAAAGGGGAACAGGGTATTCGGACTTAGCTGCCCTGCCCGGTCCACCTAAACCGCTGCCCGGTCCGGTCCGAGGCCGCTAATGGGGGTTTTGCGTATCCCATGCGCCGGAGCAAGCATTTCGCTCCCGGCGCAAGGACTCGGTTTGCTAGCTGAGGACTTTCCACAACCATGATGATATCATACTTAAATAAAGGAATATATAATAGATCTATCATGTTGAAATGATAATTGTAATACATGGTTCTATTTAATAGCGGTAGTTTTGTTTCTTATTTTGAGGAGGGAAACACGGGGGAAACTGTCAAAAATCGAGGGAACGCAAACTGAGATCGGCTCAATTCCGGGTGCATAACGCCAAAATTTCTCGACGATTGTATAAAAATGACCACTCATTTGCCGCCTACGGTAGCGTGTACATGGTAGTGCGATCATATCGTGCCAAAGTCAGCGTCAAACGTCAGAAAATCCCCGTAAAAATATAGTTGCAAAACACATTTCCCGCGCACTCATGGCCGGCCGCCGGCATGTGAAGCAGCATGCTCATTATAATATGCAAGTAGCTACGCTCTGATTGGTTCACCTTAGATGACCTGCGCTCTGATTGGCTAGAACGAAGCCCGTTGCATGCTGGGGCGCCCTTCCCCGCGCGAAGTGCGATCTGGAGATAGCCACATTTACGCTGGTTTCTACCTTATTTCTACGACTAATTAGCAAAATCCTAGTGACGAAATGCGTACTCAAAAGAATTTTCGGGAAAAATACATATGCACATGTGGATTTGTGGTGCCTTTGGCGTAATTTTGTTGGTCACGTACAACGTAAATGTAACACGGAAGTGCACGGAGTCGGAGTCGCGGCACGGCTTTCTGTCCCACTCTAAACAAAACCCCAAGGACATAACAAAACTCCCCAAAACTGGTCAATAATTAGCCATAAAAATGTTTGTGGGCACGTGTAAATATGCTACCTTTTTCGAGTGTTATAGGAATTATTCGCGATGTTTTTGCACATCCCTAACGTAACCTCACGCCGGGCCCGCCGCCTATTATGTACGGCGGACCGGGGTATTTATAACAGTTAATTCAGATCATCTAGGATTGCATATTCGGTGGTAAAATAAGTAAACAAACAGAGAAAAATAGCAAAATAAAGTTGACAAACTATAGAAACGCTTGCATGGGCAACACTGACAAAAGAAAATGTCGATCTAATTGATGCGCCGGTTTTAAACGTTACTGTTATATAGTAAAATGCGGGCTAGATCAACGTTCCTTTCGCTGTTCCAGCGGTGTGTATCGGTAATTTCCCGCCCCGCATGAGGTAAATTAGTACTCCTCCCACGATTCCTGTGATGTTACCGCGCCTGCATATGAATGGAGAAGTCTGACGAAAAAGAAACGCGTTACTTTCGGAAAAGTAACGGAAAACTTTCGGAAAAGTAACCAGTTAATAACGGAAAACTAACGGGGAAAAAAACGCGTTAGTAACGGCCCTTAGGGTAACTATAACGCGAACGGTACTGTATTATGGCCGGGTCCTTGCGCCGGGAGCGAAATGCTTGCTCCGGCGCATGGGATACGCAAAACCCCCATTAGCGGCCTCGGACCGGACCGGGCAGCGGTTTAGGTGGACCGGGCAGGGCAGCTAAGTCCGAATACCCAAGGGGAACAAGAGGTTCAATAAAACCTGTCATGGGCTCCGTCATTGTGATGGTGGGGAGCGGGAAAATGGCGCAACTTCAAACGGCCGGTAGCGCTCTAAACAAAATGGACTAGTGAGCTAAGTGTATACCAAATAACTTTTCAGACATACCATGTATGATATAATGTGACAGTCATTTTTTTAAAACCTCTTGTTCCCCTTTAACTGTAACACCTTCCACAGAGAGAGCTAGCCCAGTTGCTGGTGAGCCTGGGTGCCCTGAGCTGCACGCTGGATATTCTACTGAGGCCATGGCAATACCTTTGCCTTAAAGTTTTTACTGTTAGAAGTCGCCATTAACTGTAACACCCCTCTACAGAGAGAGCTTGCCCAGTTGCTGGTGAGCCTGGGTGCCCTGAGCTGCACGCTGGATGTTCTACTGAGGCCATGGCAATACCTTAGCCTTAAAGTTTTTACTGTTAGAGGTCGTCATTAACTGTAATCCCCCTCCACAGAGAGAGCTAGCCCAGTTGCTGGTGAGCCTGGGTGCCCTGAGCAGTGCACTGGACATCCTACTGAGGCTGCACATGTGGGAGGATGCCATCACCTGCTACCACCAGCTCGGCAGGTACTAGTTTAGTTTATTTTAGTCTATTTGTTTTTGTATTCTAAGGTAACCTTGTATTCAGTGGTTAAACACTGGTTTGCAGTGGGGCCCTGGACACAAAACACATTTATTCAGCTCACTTATTTTATTTATTTATTTTATTTATTCTTTGTTTCAGGCCAAACGTCCACATAAAAAGAAAAAGAAGGACAATAACAAAAGTACAAATACACAAATTACATACAAAGGTTTAAAAAGTGCGGCCAGTATAGGCTTCGGGTAAACACATCGGAATGGCAAATTGAAAACATACAAATACAAGAAACAAAACAATACGTACAAAACGTACATACAGGGCAAAACAAACATATGATTGTATGAATCTACAGGTACCAGAAGGCCGAGCAGCTCATCCAGGACCAGCTGGCCGTACAGGAGACGCCGACGCTGTACTGCCTGCTGGGGGACGTCACAGGGGTGAGGGCCGTAGGGCTTCGTTAGAAATTATTAATTTTTTTTAATTAAAAAAAACGAACATTGCAAATCTTCATTTCAACCAAATTTCAGGCAAAATTAAGGACTTCCTTGGTGCTCAGGCCAGAAGCTGGCCCCTTGTATCTGTATCCTCTGCTGCTTGTAAGCTCAACCCTGTGTTTCCTTTATTGTGTTCTAAATCTTTGAGATGTTTGTACCTGTATCAGTATAATGTAGTTTGCCACACATTGTACCATGTGCAATTGTCGTGCAATAAAGTTCTTCTTTATTCACCTATCTGGATGTATTGTTACAGTAATAAATGCTGTTTCATTATATCTCTCATAGGCAGCCTTACATGCATGTATCCCATCTATATTGATGGTACATTTTGTACTGTTGTTTGTAACAGGAGAAGCAGCATTACGAGAAGGCCTGGGAGCTGTCCAGCCACAGGAGTGCCCGCGCTCAACGGAGCCTGGGCTGGGCAAACTTCAAAGAGGAAAAGGTACGATCTCTAAGCTATACTGTTGACAGTCTTAAGAAGACTTTAGGGTGAGCTAAGGCCATGTTGATTTGATTATATGGATGACATCCGCGCGCGCATGAATTTTCGGCCATTTCCACAAAAAAAAAAGTTTTCAACCATACTGTAAATCGTGCAAAACAGTTGCTAAATGAGCAAAAATATACCATAAGTTGCAAGGAAAACATTTAGAAACGATACCAATGTCGTAGAATGCCAAACTCAAAGGAAAAAAGACAAAAATGTAAAGAAATGAATTCGAAGAGTAGATTATTCACCATAACATATTCTGTGCCATTTCTTCAACCTTCATGACCACGTAGATTTCATAGTGAAAGCAACTTTTTTTTGTTGCAAAACTTTTTTTTATTCGCACGCGCGCATCAGTTTTGGGGTTCCCAGAGGATGTCATCCGTATAATCAAATCAACATGGCCTAACTCAATTTTTTTCATTGCATTTGTTACATATTTCCCTTCATATTCAGTTTCATTTATCTTCATTGTACATGTATTAGTTGAAAGGTACCTGATTAGATTCATACTTATGATAACAGTTAAACTTTACGTGACCAACACAAAGTAAATTGGGACTTACCCTAAATTTTCGACCGACTCCGTCAGTCTTGTGCACGGAATGGACCCTTCTACTGCAGCTTCCGGGACGTGACGTCGGAAACATATTGTGTTGGTCACGTAAAGTCTAACTGTTATAATGTTATCTACCAACACAGATGAACTTTAATGCTTATATTCATACTTGTTGATATGGTCTGATTGTTGTGGTGTCTCAGATTACTTTACAGCCTTTTTCCTGAAACCATGACACTTTCTTTCCATCAAGTACTCTGTGATGCTATCATTGTGTCTACTTACCTCTTCCATACACGTATGTCTGAATCATGTTAGGTTGTTAGAACGTACTGATGGTTGTTCCATCTTCCTCCTCAGTTTTCGGAAGCGATCAGCTGTTTTGAGAAGTCTGTAGAGATCAATGGGCTACAGGTGGGTGCCAGTAGGGATGTTCTTATGAGCACTGTGCAGTCCTAATGTTCAAACATTACTCATAAATGTCCGTAATAAAAAAGTGTTAAGGGTTACAGGGTTAACCATAGTTGAACATTTACCTTCAGTCCTGAGACCTTTGTCCACTTTATATACTGAAAATCACAATTGTTTTGCAGTAATTTTGTATTTGCTATGTTTGTGGTCACTTCTGTACTGCAAACTTACCATAACCATGCACAAATGATTCAGTGTGACAGGCTGAATAAAAGTTCTAAACGTGAACTATGCGGCTCCAGGTGTCTTACTGAGGGACGACTGCGTGTGCAAGATGTCGGCAGCTTGAGGAATGAATCCCCTCTACTATAACCATGCACAAATGATTCATCGACTTTCCTTTTGCTGCTCCTGCCAATGCAACGCTGCAAACGTATAGTTCCGGGAACATCTCCTTTTTTCTCAGAACACAAACTTTTTCTACTACAAACATAAAGTGATGACTGTACAGTTCAACAGCAGTGGGCTGCAGTAAAGTCCTGTAGAATCATAGATGGATATTTTACCTGTCTGATAGTTTACTATGTAAGATAGATAAATAAACTAGAAAGGCCAATATTTGCTTTGGAGCAAATACAGCGATGGGTTCACCACATTTTACGACATGGCAGGAAAAGAATGGGAAACACAAGGGAAAACAATGATTTACATTGATATAACTATAATATGAAGTAAAATACAACTAAAACAACAGTTGGATAGCTATTCCCTACTTTATTGGTAAGGATTTTTAATTGCATAATGCAAACTGTTGATTTTCAACATAAAAAAAAACGTCCATGCCCGGCATTCCAATGCTGGAGCAGGAAAGCTTGAAATACCTACCAAAACACTTGAATACAGACATACTGTCAGTATGGAAATGCTTCTGTGCAGGTGTTAATCAAGTTAAATCCCAACAGCCAATCAGCAAGAAGTATAGAGGAAAGCTGCATGCCTATTGGTTGATGCCCTGCATTCCATTCTGATGACTCATGCCCAAACGTGGTAAACAAGGCAGACTAACACAGTAATACATTTGCTATAACACAGCCAAAAAACTCAAATAAAACCATTCTAAAAGCCTGTATCACAATAATTTAAAAAACGCCTAGGGGTATTTGCTCACTGTACCTCCATACCAAATTTCAGGACCTTAGGCCCTAAAATGAAGAAGCTGAATCCATTTAAAGATATGGCAGGAGGAGGAGGAGGAGAAGGAGGAGGAGAAGAAACATCAGAAAAAGCAATATGGTTTCACCACACCACTTCGTGGTGTGGTGAACCCATAATAAATAAAATGTATCTGTGTGTTTCAGAATGCGGTGTGGTTTGCCCTGGGCTGTGCCGGGATGTCTGCCCAGCGGTACGACGTCAGTGCCCGCGGGTTCTCCAGATGTGTCCTCATAGACTATGACGTACGTATTCATGTATTCTGAATCTTGTCTTTATGAATTATGCATGCCTATGACTATATGTTGTACATATGCATGTCTCTATGGGACATCCTGAGCTGCTAGCCAGCCAGCTTATCCTGTAGGAGCCAGCAGAGGGAAGGAAGAGAAGGAATAGAAGAAGAAAAACCTTCATAGACAACCTGAAGCGGGATGCTGGCCTCAGAAACATCACCACAGCAGAACTCTGCTCACTGATGGAGGACAGGGACTACCCATTATCTCCCATGTTGATGTCCTATGATGCCTCACAGAAAATTCTTAAAATTTAAAAAATCTGATCTATTTTTATTTATTTCTTTATTTCAGGCATAACTCACCCATATACAACATACATATAAAATACACACACAATTACATCAGTAAAAGAATAATATGACTATAAGTACAGACGGGCCCAGTTATTGCGAAAGAATCTGCTGCGGAATATCACTTCAGATTTAAGAACAGATTGGATAATGTTGTTTGATGACTTGTATAGACGGGATATAAATGAGTAACATTGTTTACGCCATGTAGCATCAAATGTGTCAATCCTATTGTATACAAACAATCTGATATGTTATCATAAATCTTTAAATGTTTTTTTTTTATTTCTTCTTCATTTGACAGAACTTCGAGGCTTGGAATAACCTTGCTACATCCTACATCAGGTTGAACCAGAAGTGAGTCATCAAACATTTTCTCTATTTCGTTTTTTGATGTTTTCACTTAAGATGCTTATTTTACTTTTTATTCTATACACATGCTGTTTTGTGGTGGAATTTTGCTTGTAATGAGCTAATCATTGTTTATTGTTTATTAGTTTGGCTGATAATACCCTATCAAAACTCATCCTTTTTCAGACAGAAGGCATTCCGTGCCCTCAAGGAGTCCCTAAGGTGCAACTTTGAGCACTGGAAGATCTGGGAAAACTACTTACTGGTCAGTATTACGTAACACACAGCAAGCTGTTCAAAATAGAATGTACATGAACATGTTACACAGAACAACACATGTAATATTATAATGTTGGTTTTACTAGGCTACTTCTTGGGAGGATTAGCATTGAGTTACCTGAGGTAGTTCCAAATGGGAACCTTCCAGAGCCTTGTGATTCAGCATTGTATTAAAGCTCCTGACAATGCAGCCCTTGGCTGCAAAGTGTGAGTAACCAGCCTACCCAATGACATTAACATGTTATGAGGCAAGTTTAAACTGTGATTTCCAATACAAGAAATTGGACTTACCCACATTTTTAACGGTACATCTCCAGTCTTTATCAAGGAATGAGCAGTCCACAGCTTCTGTGACGTCACGTTATTCAGATGACACACATGACTTGGTAAGCAGTGGATCATAGGTTGCAGAAAGTCTTTGGCTACCCCATAATGACTTCTACCAACACAGGTGAACTTTCAAGACAAGACAATAACATATTTCTGTTCCTGCCTGTCCTGTAGGTGTGTACTGACCTGGGTGAGTTTGAGGAGCTGGTGACAGGGTACCATCGCATGCTGGACCTGAAGGACAAACATGCTGATGTACAAGTAAGGAAAAATCCCTTCTTCTTCTTCTTCTTTACTCATCCTCTCCTGAGGTGCAGCGTGTGAAGTTTTGTCGCCAGTACTTTCTGTCTTTCATTGCTGACAAAAGTTCCAATCCTTGTAGACCAGTGTCAGACTGAATAAGACCCTTAAGTGTTGTGATTGGACGACCAATCCTCCTTTTTGCATCTGGTAGTCGTCCCGCTTGTTCTCTACTACGAGTCACGTGACCCGCGAGGCTAAGCCGACGTCTTTTCACTACCGTGGTGATGTTTGGGAGTGTTCCATATAACCCAAGAATCCCAGACATGGTCTATATATTACACTTCTTGAACAGTGGGGTTCCAGATAGGAAAATACTGTAGATTGGGGTAAAACTGGCACATGTAGCAATGGGTTTGTGATATGCAATAAAGGAACATAAAAAGCCCAAAACACAAAACAGTATTAGCACCTTACCCCTCCACTGCAACTTCCAAAATACAGATGTAATCAGTATATATATGACATACAGCACCCTTTTAGAACTAAAATGTTTACTGCATTAGTAGTTATAGTAGCCTGGTGTCCAAATCTATGTTACCCAGCCTCTTATGTGCTCTATACAAATTTGCCAAGAAAAAGACTCTAGGCTACTGACTTGGTGCATCTCTTGGTGTTAGTTTGTTAACACACAGCCTGTTGTGTTGCCAGGTGCTCCAGGTTCTGGTGGATGCTGTCAGCCAAGACCTGCAGGACAACAGTGGCAGACCAGGTAGGACCCTTTTTGTACGATTTTGAATGTATGTTGTTATAGCTAGACTTTTATCTTTCCTTACCACTCAAAATAATGCAACAATATACGTTAACGAAGGTTAGACATCCAGGTAATGAGTCACACAAGAAAACAGTTCCTCAAGCAATTGGACAGATTTTTAAAATCTATCTTGTTTGTGGAGGAACTATTTTCTTGCGAGCTTGAGTTTATTGAGTTTATGCATTCTTGTGAATGTAATATTATGCTTCAAGTTTTTTTGTAAATGATTCAATATTGCTTAAAATAAGCTGATTGAAAATCCAACTTTAGATGAAAGCAAATTCGATACACCATGTTATATAGAGGCCATGAAATTATGAATGTTCAGCATGTTTGACAGAAACACTTTGTTGACATTTAGCATCCAGACTGCGCGGCAAGGCTGTGGAGTTGTTTGGCAGGCTGACCTCAAAGGTTACCAATAACGCCCAAATATGGCGACTGTACGCCAGACTACACGGGGATGGGCAAAATGAGGATGTACAGGAAAACGAGAAGGTATGTGAGACATTCATACTTAATATATGTACTACTTTTTTCACGTAAAACAAAGATCTTCCTGTATATCAGTTGAGTCAATTACATGGGGACAAAAAACAATGTCATTGAGAATAGTACATGTACTTGCTTGTGTTGTATATCTTAATACACTGACTGGGGGTACAGTCAAATAAACCTGCCCAGGCACCCACTCCTTCAAGCTGACCACCTGTTATGTCATAACAACCACTTTTCCTGGTCCTGATATGTTTCCTCCAGAGGTGCAAGCATTAGGCTACCTGTCCAAGAAGGCAACCTGTCCAAGAAGACCTCTTTACTTTGAGGTGTATGTAAACTTTTGTAAAGTGGTCTTCTTGCACAGGTTTCAGTGTATGTGTGAATATGAACGGCCACTTGAACCATGAAGGGAACCTCAGTAAGGCTTTCATTAGGTGCAGAACAAAAACTCCAAGATCTATCGTAGAGTGTAACTCGTTGCCACCAAGCACGGTTGGGGCATCATCACTAGAAAGCTTTAAACAGCAATAATGTGCAAAGATTGAGTGTAACAAGTCTTTTGGTGTAAATAGCTACTACATGTAGTTGCCACGTGCCTGCAAAGCTGGTGTGTTACACAGAAGGGCAGTTACTACTACTAGTACACTGATACAGATACAGAATCATGGTAACCCTTCTTCCCCCTCCAGGCCCTGCAGTTCCTGCAGAAGGCCCACCGCTGCAGCACACAGTCGTCAGGATGGGACCGGGAGCCGGCCTCCGCGGGGCACGTCATGGACCAGGCACTGCTCCTGGCTCAGGGTGAGATCTCAGAAAGGCTTTCTCCATCACCCAAATATTTTACACAATTGCTCTGGCAAACGTAATCGCACAGATGGGTAAGTTTACTTGGGGTGCGGCGAACTGTTCTCTCGGCGAACAAACTCCCTTGGCATGCTTATCTCTCTATTTAGCCGATTTCTACTCTTTCCAGCCGCCTCCCAAAGCCTGGTAGAGGCTGAAGTTCAATGCTTGTTAATTTGTTTTTTGGCATTTTCCACAAAGTGAAAGGGAGGGAAAAACAGGTGCATACGCACCTTTCCAGGTTGCCCTCCCCCAATGTTGTCACAGGATTAGTTTTTGATAGGCCTGTTTCATACAACCTGAAAGATCTCCAAGATGTTCCTTTTACAATTTGACGAAATTCTTAGTCTTGTAGTTGCCATGCTCGCTAACGTTGGCTTACTAATGATATGGCTTGCTTTCTTTTTCATCTTCAGCTGCCATGACAGTGAGCAAGAGGAAGACCAACCCCACGGAGGCTATCCAGTCACTGTCGGCTGCGAAGATGGTCCTGCGCCAGGTCGGGACCAAGGTTCGTCAGGTACACACGGACGCCATGACAGGACAGATGCCGGAGGACTTGGCTGGCAGACTGACCGAGGTGGAGCAGACTCTGGCTACAATACAGGGTCTTATAGACAGTCTCAGGGGCTAGGAACAGTCTCAGTGGCATTGTGCAATAATGCCAGCTAATAAAGGGATATTCTTGTAAGAAATAGGTAACTGGAGAAGTATTCATTTTCATTGTAGATACATATTGTATGGTCACCATTGAACATGATGAAATTAGTCATCTTTCCAGCTAAGGCATAGCCTGGAATCCATCCGTGAACACTGTGTCTCCGCTCCATTCCCCAGCAGAGGACACAGTATTCACGGATGGATTCCAGGCTAGCTAAGGCACAAACATTTATGCTGTAACACTGACTTTCTTTTAACATCATCCTGTCATATACTGTAACCCATAACCTTAATATAATAAATAAAAACTGTACTACCAAAGAGCCGCATGCCTTTTGTATGATTTGTGAATGTAAGTATGGATGACACCAATATCTGAAAATGGTTTTGAGTGTCTGCGTGGTTTATGCATTTTCTCAAGCCATGAGTCATGGTCCATCATTGTAGGGGAAGAGGTGAAGGAGACAGAAGCCTTTGTGTACTTGGGTAGCGTGGTCGACCAGCAAGGGGGCACGGGTAGAGATGTGTCAGCAAGGATGGGGAAGGCAAGGGCAGCGTTCATCATGCTAAGGAAGGTCTGGGCCTCTAGAGGGATTCGAAGAGCCACCAAACTCTGCATCTTCAACTCCAATGTCAAATCAGTCCTCCTCCATGGTTCGGAAACATGGAGAACAACAAGAGCCACACAGCACAGGTTACAGACTTTCATCAACACATGTCTCAGACGAATCTTCAAGATCAGGTGGTGGGACAGAATCAGCAACCAGGAGCTGTGGGACAGAGCGGGTCAGAATCCCATCAGGGAACAGATACTTAAGAGGAAATGGTCCTGGATAGGACACACGATGAGGAAGGCCAACACTAGTATCACTCTGCAGGCCCTGACCTGGAATCCACCGGGTAAGAGGAAGAGGGGTAGACCCAAGAACAGCTGGAGAAGGGACACGGAGGAGGAGATGAGGAGCATCAGCACCAGCTGGCAGGACCTGAAGAAGAAGGCCCAGAGACGAGGGGAAGTGGAAGAACATGATTGGTGGCCTTTGCCCTGGCAGGGGCGAAGGGCCTAAGTAAGTAAAGTAAGTATGAGTCATGGTCAGTCATTCTTAATCTTTACCAAAAATTGTAGAATGAAGCCAAAAAAGAAGACAGAATATCTTGTATACCAACAACACAGATTTATTACTAAATATTAACTTATACATTATATAACTGTAACTCCTAACATACTGCCATACATAGAGATGCAGAAAATGACATAAATACTCTTTTGTCATTAACTGCAAATAGGATCTTTTGCAAATATGATATTTTTTCAACCAGAAAAGGTGAAGTGACATAACGTTACTGGTACTACATGTACATATACATTTCAGCAACCACAAGGAGGGCTTAGTCAGAGCGTAAGTTGTCTACTTGCAACATCACTTAGTATTTCTTAACAACATCATCAAGGTATTTTCGTTGCTGGTAACAGGAAAACGGTATTGCTAATCCAACCCAAAGTTTGCCATCAGGTAGAGCAGACATGATCAGAAAAAATCTTGTTTCTTGGGTACATTTTGGAATCACATGTGTACATGTATCACGTAAAAAGG